GGTGTTTGATTATGTATGCGGGTGAATGTTTGGGTGTTTGTGTGCTTGGAGCCTAGCCCACTGTCCAAATTTGAGATTTGAGGGCTCCAAGTACTGTTGTTTGCTTGATCATATTGGCACTGTGGTTTTAATTGGTGAATTGAATGGCTTTTGACTTAATGCATGACAACTGAGGTGTGACTAGGACAACCTATAATGATGACTGAGACGTGCAGTAGAATTGTGTAGGGGTTTGGTTTTTCAACTGTTTGCTTACCAACTGTGAGTTAGATTGATCACTTGTTCTTGACAGTCTTTTATGCATCTAGTTCAGGGAATCAGAATGAGAGATAGAGCATATAGGTAGCCATGTGAGATTTGAGCATGCTCGTTTCTTTCTTGTGCGATAGTTCCCTCTTCCATGATGTGTAGCATTCACGTTGTCATTAGCTAAGATGATGGAGGCATAGGATTAGCCCACGACCAAATTGACTGTCCTGATGTGTCATATCCCCTAGTCAGCCCTTTGAGCCGTGTGTTATCCTTTCTTTCGGTCTACAATGGAAAATCACCCTTTTGCATCTTCTGGAAGGTTCCACAGAGTGGTTTTTACATGTTCTCTGCTGTTTCTGCTAAGTTTAATGTGAGGGTTGGAGGTAGTGCATAAAAATTGGGCGGGTGAATGTTTGAAAAATGTGCAAAGGTGGTGGTTCTGTTAAGAAATTAAAAAAAAATGAAAGCAAAAAATGAAAGCAAAAGAGAGCCGCTACCAAAAATCTGAATAGTGCCCATTAAGTAGTGTTTCTTAGCAGTTTGGCTTGGAAATACTAATATTTATGTGACCCCCTTCGCTTGTGTGCAAGAATTTGAGTAATGTAGAATGGCAGAAAGAAAGTAAGTGGTTTGATTGACTGTGATTGTGTTGGGTTTGGAAATGTGGAACCTTGTGCTACGAAACGAATACTTCCACCACCTAAAAGGCCTTTACCCCATGTCCAAGACCCTAGCCAGTTATCTGAACCTGTGTCTAAGACCTCCGGATTAGTTAGTGGTGACACCCCGTATGTGAACTCTAGCATTTAGAGGTTGCCATCATGGTGAAGAGATGTTAGGGATTAAGAGAATAAGCATGCGCATTTTTCGCATCAAATTGTCCTGACCCCACTGGTCGAGAGTGAGCGATTCATTTTCTCATATTCTCTATACTCTTATACCCCGGTGAGGACCTAGATTACTCAGTCTCTATTCTGATATCTTGAGTTTTGTGCATGAGGTGACTGTCTTGAGTAAGTGGTTGAGTCAAGTCTATGTTGATTGATGAACAGAAGGGAGACTCCACCTTTACTCGATTTTGCTGCACTCGAATGTCCTCTGTGGTGGTTGTCCGGGTTGCGGTTGAAGTTGTTCATGTGTTGATGTTTGAAAGGCGGTGTGATTCCCATGTTTTGTGCCAATATGATTTGTCCCCAATGTTGGTATGATTGAAATTGTGAGCTTACCTTGTGTCTGACTTGGTTTGCTTGGGGACAAGCAAACGGTTAAGTGTGGGGGAGTTTGATAACATCGGATTTGCACATGTTTGCACCCTCGTTTCTTGATCATTTTGGCTTGAGTTTCTACTTTCTTGGACTATTTTACGCTAGTTTGTGTTCCTTTGTCACATTTCAGGTCCTAACATGTGAATTGAAGCATAGGCGCAAGTTTCAAGTCAATCGGAGATCATTTGGCAATTCGGGAGAAGAAACACGAGCATGACCTGAGGAATAATGGAATTCTACCTCATATTATGGACAAATAATCATGGAATTTTTTCATGAAAATAAAGAGGACGAGACTACGAGCGCCTGGGATCAAACGGCGACTGATTCGGAGTCCGGACGAGGGAGAAACGAAGCTAAACAGAGGCTGAGCAAGCCACATGGGCACACCTAAAAACCCACACGGCCGTGGACCTGGCCATGTGGCCATGTAGGATTTACCGAGCACTCACACGGGCATCCTGGGGAGCCACACGGCCGTGTGGCCCCTGCCCGTGTAGCTTGCCTGGTAGCCCATTAATCAAAAATCCGCATTTTGGCACTCACACGGGTAGCTGGGTAAGCCACACGGCCGTGTGACCTAGCCGTGTGAGTCGGGAAATTCTGGGTTTAAGCCAAATTCGAGCCAAAGGAGAGAGAGAGAGAGAGAGAGAGAGAGAGAGAGAGAGAGAGAGAGAGAGCTGGGTTTTGGTTCCCAAACACCCAAGGGACGAACCCTAGAGAGAGAGCGACTTGGGAACATTCTTGGAGCTATTTTGGAGGATTTCTTCGCCATTGGAGCTCGGGAATCAAGCTTGGAGATGGAGATTGAAGATCAAGATCAGATTTCTGCAGTCTCTCTCTTCTCTATGGAGTAACTTCCCTTCACTTAGGTTTTGAGGAACCCTAGTTCCATGTGTTAGGATCTTTCTTGTATGAAGTTTTGGATGCTATATTGTTTGATTATAATCGATTGAGGCATGATTTATAGAGTCAATTGAAGCCTGATCATCTTCTCTTGATTTCTGCTTTAACCTATGATAGATAGAATCTGATTATGTTAAGAGAGCTTCCTTGATTGGTAGTGGTGAATTGGTTGTGCGAGAGTCAATCAATTCTGTGCTTTGTAATGGAATTCATTCCAGTAGTGGAGATCTTTGTGAATCGCCTTAGCAGTCTACCCCGGTGAAGGCTAGTCGCCTGTCGGGTATTCTGTCTAAGAGGGCTTGGTCAGCTTAAGAGATTCCAAGCTAATTTAGGATATTCCGCAATTTGCTCAATAGTAGACCAACCAAAAGTAATTGCAACTTGGACCTAATTGAGGAGCTAGGGGGAATCATACCTAAGTGAGTTCCCAACTTGTAATTAGTAGAGTAGTCAATAGAGTAGTTTATAAATCAATCTTTAATCTAGTTTGCTAGATAATGAATTGAAGCTGAGTAATAGTAACTCTAGAGACCCGTGGATTCGATATTTATTACTTGTGCCACTATACTGCAGTCCCTTTCATTGGTTACACTTGGCCATTGTTAGGTGTTGTGTTTTAGCGTGTCAATTGCTTTTATTTATGTTTTCCTCTCTCTCTCATTATGGAGTAATCATCTCTCTCACTTGGGTATGAAGAAACCTATTTCCATGTGTTAGGGATCTTGTTTGTAATGACTTTTGGATATTATAGTGGATGATTTTAATTGATTGAGGCATATTTATTGAGTCATTTTGAATCTTGATCAAGTTCTCTTGACTTCTTCTTTAACCTATGATAGATAGAATCTGATTAGGTTGATAGAGCTTCTTCAATTGATAGGAGTGAATTGATTGTATGAGAGTCATTCAATTCACTGATTTGTACTGGAATTTGTTCCATGTAAAGAGATCTGTGTGAATTGCCTTAGCAGTCTATCCCGGTGAAGGCTAGTCGCATGCCCAGCATTCTGTCTAAGAGGGCTTGGACAGTTTAAGAGATTCCAAGCTATTTTTGGATCTTCCGCGGTCTAATATACAGTAAAAACAACCAAAAGGAATTACAACTTGGACCTAATTGAGGAGCTAGGGAGACTCATTCCCGAGTGACTCTTCTCGTGCTTTAGAAAATCGAATAATTTGCTGGTTTCTTTTTCTTTGGTTTAAATTCACTTTCACTCAACTTTTACCGCTTGATAATAGAAGTTCATGGAGTAGGCAGTAAATCTAGGACCCGGGTTGATAAGTAAAACTGAACCCACTATTCTACATTTCCATTCTGCGATTATACTTGGTCGTAGTTTGGTGTTATATTTGAGCGAGTCAATTATGCAAGCTATGTAGATACATGTCGCTCTACCAGTGGTTAGTGTGCGCATTTCATGGAGGCCTTTCACTCACAGCATTGTAAGAAGCAAGACAAGCTTTCTCTGTCGTCCATTTAGGCATAGTATCGTGCTATGTCAGAGGCTGGATCCGAACTTTTTTGGCTTCATCGCTTACTTGCTAATTTTTTCATTTGATGTGATTTTTATGCCTCTTTTTGTGAATAACACTAACACTATCCAAATTGCAGTGAATCTAGTTTTGCATGATCAACCGAAGAACATTGAGATATATATCCACTATATCTGTGCTTTTGTTCGTGATGAGACTGTGATCTTGCACTATTTGGAGATAGAAGACCATCTAGTGATCTTCTTACCAAAGATTTCACTTATAGTCATCATTGGTATATGTCTAGCAAATTGATGCATAGCGAGTGATATCAATTTGGGGGAAACTATTGGCATATGATGAGCCAGTCTTTTGTATGGAATTTTGTTTTTGTGGACTTTTGTCTTGTTGGATAGACCGGATTTATTTTGTTTTGGTGGAATTCCGCCTTGTTGGTGTGGACCTTATTTCTTATTCCCACAACTCATGATACTAGGTGAATGTTGTTAGGTTTGTATGGTGGTTAGGGTAGCATGGGGTGTACATATAAATACGTCTCGTATAAGTTATAGGTGATCATCAATTGGGGATACTGATATTTAGACCGGAGAGTGAAAAATCTCATGCAGACTAGTCCCTAATCTTGGGGATATCACGCATTGTTGTGTGTGTTTGCTTCGATTTGATTACTTGTTTCTGTTTTGGTTAAGCGGGATTCGTCAACAAGGCATGTTTCAGTCATGGAGGTTATAATCAAGTTCATTAGTGATGATTAACAAACATTAAAAGGGCTGATGGAGGTTATTAGTAAGTTCTTGCCGATGATTAGTGAACATTACATTAGTTAGAAAATACTCTGTGGTGATTATTATCATTAGTAATTGGAAAAAAATTAGATGGCCATAGTTTTATTGTTCGAAGTCAAAATTTTCATTGCGAAAGCTAATAAAAATAATCATACGAGTCATGATTAGTTGCTGCTCTTAGATTATGAATTAGTGATTTACAACTTCAATTTTAACCATTCTTTTTATTTTAATGACCGAAAAAACCCAAAGGCTAGATAGCTTACCAGCAACAACAAAATAGGCTATAGCTAGCAAGCTAAAAGGCCTCCCACCAGGTGAAAATAAAGTCATCGGAGGAGCCATCATCTATTGGCGTGAAGAAGAGGTAAATGCGGGAGCCATTATCATGAATCCCACATTCATCTAGAGTTAAATCGTCATCATCGTCTGATATACAACAACCATCTCCAAGCAGCAAGATCATACGATCAAAGGGCAGCTTCTGCTGGGCTGCGATTGCACGTTTGAGGTCAGCAACTTTGGCATTATCTTCTTCGACATTAACATGGAAAAGGCTTCCTGTCATTACCTCTACTGCCACCATCATTAACGTTATACGCAGTAAATGGTTTGGTGTTTGCGACAACTATAATAGTCTTGTCTGTTTTTCTTGTTTCTTGGAGGCAATCCTTTGACAAAATTAAGCATTTATATGCATGGGCTTCTTTCTTTTTCCTTTGTGACATGGGGCAATGCAGACAAGGAAATTAAATTATTTCCTTATTAGCATTTTATCATGTTTTCTCCTTTCAAAAAAATTAATGCTTTTCCTAATTAGTATTTTAGCTGGCAACTTCCATCTATGACTGTCTTCTTTCCCCTTTTAGATTTTTTTGCGACTGAAGAGTGAAGATTTCCTCTCTCCCTTAATTAGCTTAAAATTCTCTGTAAATACTAAATAAGTACACATTTTTCGAGCGAATACAGATGTATAACTCTACACTTACTATTTATTCGAGACCTCTAACTTTTCACAATTAATTTTAACAAGTTATTTCTCTTTCGATTTAAGCCATAATTTAATTTTTGACAGAAAAGCAAATTAATTGTGCTCTTTAATGACATCCATTTTGATATATCTTGGAACAAAAAAGATTGAGATATCTATTACCAATGTAGTAAAAAACGAGTCTTAAAATAAAGAAAAAAATGCAAATTTTTACGTTTCTGACTAGGCAAAACGTTTCAATTTCTACATAAAAACATATTGTGTGTAACAAAGTTTAAAAAAGTGGTAAAAAAATGTTCACAAACGCGTTTCTGATTCGTTTTTGTACGTTTCTAGTTGAAGGAATTCCAACTAATTTCATACACTTCCTGCCAACAAACCAGCCATTAGTACATCAATCCCTACAGTCAAATCAACCTACAATGAGTCTTAAATATGTCCTCAAATTTTGATGACGATCCAACCGTTGGTTTCTGTGGAATATTCCCTAGAACCAACTGCCCAGCTATAGGAAAACAACAACATTTCTCGGCAAACCAGAAATAATAACGACCATTCCTACGGTTGGATTGATTCCAGAAAGTATTAAACATGCCCTTCAAGTTTTATGATCCAACACGGGTTGTATTGTAATCCTCTCTTGAACTCACTACTTTGCTACAAAACAAAAACTTGGTTGCCATTTAAACCATCCAACTTTCAATTAGTTACATTTAACCCCTTCAAATTTCAATTCACTTCACATTCTCTTAGATTTAAAATGAGTTTAACCATGAAACAACCCGATGTTCTTCGAAAACCAAACCATAAATAAACCAAAAATCGGCTACTCCAGAGCAATCCAAATCACATTTAAAAGGTCAAACCGAAAACCACTCAACGACAATATTCAGAAATCCCAAAACAAAAGCCCTCAACACTTGAGCAAATCCCAATCCCAAATACTTAAACATAAACCTTGAGTTTCCCATTATACTCATAAGACATGAACTAAAGACAATTACGATAAAATGGTCATATCTCATTACCACGAGCCTTCTGACATCTTCAAGTTTGCAGCGGCTGACCTCCTTGATTACCGTATCGTGCTAGTTACGCCCTCTTCCCCTTTCCACACCTGGTGAGTGAGAAGGGGTCGGTCTCGTTGTTACTTCCTAAGGTCTTGCCCTAAGCAATCTCCTTACTAAAACTTGTTATTAGCATTTCCTTTCCTTAGATGAGCGTTGTTCTCGCTATCATCCTCAATACCTTATTCCAACGTTAACTCATAGAAGTTCTCAACTTCTATCCTTAACTCATACGCAGACACTAGAGTCCACCGCGTTAAGCCTCGTCGTCCGTTTGCATACCCAACTCGGCAATGGCCTGCATTACGTCTCGCCGTCCAGTACCATACCCTATCAACTGTTGCATTATGTATCGCCTTCCAGCAATGATCCGACCATCTACCGCGTCCAGTAGTGTCCCAACCGCCAAGTGGTTCATCTTACATACAAACATACATCACATACATAGCACAATGGGTGCTTCCACCTTAAGTAGGCGGTGGGATGCCTCACACACATAATTGCGCAAACTCATAAAGTAACTAGCATAACTTGAAGTAAAAGATATAAATTAAAAGGCCTCGACAAAGATTTTACCCCATTTACACTCACCTTGAAAAGACAATTCTCCGACCCTTAGCCCGAAGAAATCCTTCCTCAACATACTATCTCGATACCCCCAGAGCGTGCCTAGACCCCAAGGAATAGATTAGAACGAAAGCTCCTTGAATCAACTCGTCCAAATCCTCCAAAAGATCCATTCCTAAGACGTATGAAAGATTAGAAGTCGAGAGGAACGACGAGTTGGAGAGATTTTCGTTGGTATCTCGGCTTTTCGGCAAACGGGGAATAATCTGGAGGTTTCTTCCTCCTCCTTCCTCCTTGCTCCTCTCCACTAGGGGGTGGCTATACGGTCCGGTCCGGTTAAATTGGCCCAAATTGATCTGGTCCAGTCCGACTTTTTAAAAATATAAGGACCAAAGATTGGATTGGATACAGTCTGGTCTTGATCCGGTCCGGTCCCAATTCGGTCTTGATTTTATATTGAGTTTGTGGGGATTTGAGTGGCCTAAGGCCTGAAAGGGCGAGGAGTTGGTTAAGTTTTGTACTAAGTGCAAAGGTTTGTGACCGTTTATGCAAATTACCATTGAGTTTGGGGTGTTTAGCTCTCTTATCCGGTCTTTATCCAGTTTTTGATCCGGTCCCGAACGGTTTTTTATCTCAAATCTAAGCCCAAAGATTGGATTGGATTGTTTACTATCCGGTCCCGGTCCGGTCTCGGTCCGGGTTATACGGTCCGGTTTCAGGTAAAATTAAAAAATCCGGATCAAATAGCCAGCCCTACTCTCCACCCTTTCCTTCGAATTCTGTTTGTTCAAGCATTTGGTGGGTTTTTGGGAGATGAAAAACGTGAGTGGAGAGATAGTAGAAAATATACATCTTTTATAATAGTTCAAACACGGGCACGAGACACAACCGTGTTCTCCCCCGTGTTCTCTCCATCCGTCGCGCCTCATTTCGATCATCCTCGACGTTTTAAGAACTTTATCGACACGGCCTACCAATACGGTCGTGTCCAGACCGTGTTATGTTTCTCCTTCAATCTCGTTCGTTCATAACGACTCGTCCACTTACTCCTACTCTTAAGACGAGCATTGAATTGGAGACGGTCTAGAGATACGGGCGTGTTTACTGATAGTGTTCAATCCTTTGCTGATTCACTTCCTGCTGCGTCAAAATGGCACACCTGCCCGAACACAGTCTAGCAACACGACCGTGTTTCGCCCCATGTTCTAGCATGTTCCTCCTTCTTCAAAGCTTTCTTAAACCCAACCTTGTTCCAAAACTTTCGGTCAAACCTTAATCGAACATAACCGGAACCTGGGGTGTTACATTTCCTCCCCCCTTAAAACAATTTTGTCCCCAAAATTGCAACTGTGAACTCGGCCTTTGGCTAGAATTACTCTACCTCGGTTAGGGTATCACATTTCCTTCCCTCCTTAAGAAAATTTCATCCTCAAAATTTTTACCTGAACTTAGTTGTAAGGTTCAATGGGACTTAACTTAGTCACAAGGATTATTATTGAATTACCGAGTACTAAACTGGAAGTGCAGTTTACTACGAAACAAAATGAGACAACTAACTAGCGAACCATGCTAAAAGCATTTATTTATTCCCCATAATCTGCTATGTGCCACATAACCACGTCATTGTGTTTGCTTATTCCCTCCATCGTCTTCACAGTCACTCTCTATCCTTCCTATGGCAAATACTCGAGGTTTTCAACTAGCTCTTGACATTTGGCCCTGGTCATGATTGGTGTGGTAGGTGATGCCTCCCCTGAAAGGTCCTCCATAGTTGTTGTATGATTCATTGGGCTGATTCCTGAACTGATGTTCGGTTTGGGTTCTTCCTCCTCCGCCCCGGACGGATTGTTCGGAATGTGCTCTCTCCTTCCCGTCTTTCATAGGGCACTCTCTAGCAAAATGGCCTAGCTCATTGCAATAGTAGCAGACCCTGAGGGACTACCTACAAGCCCCTGAATGATCCCACCCACACTGGTTATAGGGACCCTTGTTGCTGAAATTCCTACTAGGTCGGACCGAGCCGGTCTAACTCTGAGCACCCCTATAGCTAACAGTGCCACTCGTCCTCCTCCTGGTCTAACTGGACTGACGAGCTACTCTGGCATGTCGCTTGCCTTGCTCTTACTTCCCTCGTGTTGCATCCCTTCCTCATGAAAGGTTGCGTCTGCCCTCTATATCCGAAGAGTCGCCTGATAAACCTCCTCCCGATTGTTCAACATCAGCATGCTCAACAGCTTCTTAAGGGCAGACTTCAAACTCACTAGATAGTGGACACGCTGGGTGGCACTTCTTGGAATTGGGATCCTCCATAAAGCAGTAACTTCCCGAACCGCGAAGTATACTCCGCAATGCCCTCCTTGCCTTCATCGCCCCATATCTGCTTGATCGATATGAACTCCCTCTGCTTGCCGAGATAGTAGGCCTCAGGCACAAAATGAGCATGGAATACCTACACCATCTCTGGCCAACTGATGGCTAGTGGGTCCTCGCGGCTCGCTGGTTGGGTACACCATCAATCATAAGCCAGCCCTTGCAGTAGGGATACCATCAGCAGTACCCTATCCTCATCATCCGCCCTCATTTCGGTCAGCGTGTGGGTAACCTTTGTCTTCCACTTCTCCACCTCACTAGCGTCCATCGAGCGGTCTCCATCAAAATCCACCACTCCTCGCCTCCGGAAAGCCACGTAATCTGGGGGTGGCCTAGCCGCCACGGGATTAAAATGCGCATTACTTTCTCTGCAAGTAGTACCCTTATTAGAACCACATTTATTTGTCTTATCATGCTTGAGTATACTGGAAACTCTATAAACCACTTCAAATCAATTGGTCAACCATTTTTCTTGAAATCCCTTTTTTCTCTTTAAAAATTAACCCTTGAAAACTCAGATCGTCATTCCAGTATTTCTTGGAGACCAAGTAACAGAGGAAAACCAGGCTCTGATACCAAAATGAACCAACGCAA